ATAAAACTCTGAAGAAAACACAAGACGAAAGCTGTGCAACATGTGCCTGGCAGTGACTTCTTGGATATGTCACTAAAGACACAGGCAAGAAAGGAAACACAGATAATCTGTGCTTCACAAGTGAACACTGTCCCCAAGGACACAGTCCCGGGAAAAGACAGCACAGAACCTCGATGCGTAATTTGCAAACACGCTCTGCCATTCCGTGTTGCCTTTCCCCGGACTGTGTTAATATAGAGAACTTCTAAACCTCAACGAGAAAACAGCAAAAACCCACTTCCAAAACAGCCCTGGTTGGTTGGAGTGGGTCCCATGCACTGAAGGGTTGCAGGTGCGATTCCTGGTCAGGGCACTTACTCAGGGTGTATGCTTTATCCTCGGTCGGCATATGGGAGGCAACCAGTCCATGTTTCTCTGTCACATTTCTCTCTCTCTCCCTCTCTCCCTCTCCCTCCCTCCCTCTCTTTCTAAAATCAATAAAAAACATATCCTCGGGTGAGGATTTAAAATATATAGAGTGTCCCCCAAAAAGTATACACACACTTTGAATAATTATAAAGGCAGTGTTTATTAAAATACTAGAGGCCCGGTGCACGACAATTGTGCATTGGGGAGTGGGGGGACTCCCTCAGCCCGGCCTGCACCCTTTTGCAGTCCTGGAGCCCTCAGGGGACATTCTTAGTGCTGCTGTGGAGGCGGGCTGCTGTGCTGCCAGCTGTCAGCCTGGCTTCTGGCTGGGCAGTGCTCCCCCTGTGGGAGCATACTGACCACGGGGCGGGGGGCGGGGGAGGCAGCTCCTGGTTGAGCGTCTGCCCCCTGGTGGTCAGTGCACATCATAATGACTGGTTGTTCTGCCATTCGGTTTATTTGCATATTATCCTTTTATTATATAGGATATTTACTCTCATGTACTTCAAACAGAATTTAATAATATGCAAATAATATATGTTTATTCTGCTCTTACTCTTTTTAAAAAATATATTTTATTGATTTTTTACAGAGAGGAAGGGAGAGGGATAGAGAGCTAGAAACATCGATGAGAGAGAAACATCAATCAGCTGCCTCCTGCACGCCCCCTACTGGGGATGTGCCTGCAACCAAGGTACATGCCCTTGACTGGAATCGAACCTGGGACCCTTCAGTCCGCAGGCCGATGCTCTATCCACTGAGCCAAACCAGCTTGGGCTGCTCTTACTCTTTACTTGGCATCTTAGCAAGCAAAGTAAAGGGTGTATTAATCAAAATTTGAGAGATCATAATAAATACACTTTAATTCAATAAAAAAGAAATACAATTGACCAAATGTTGATTAGTAATGAGAGGGTCCCTTTGTAAAGTATATGCATGTCTAACTACTATGCTGTACACCTGAAATTAATACAAAGTAGTAATAAATGTAAACTGTAATTGAAAAGTAAAATATGCAAACAGATAAAAATATTTTATTAGGAAATCAAAATAAAATGTTAGTATCTTAAAAAATCAAATAATAAAATAGAATAGATTTCATTTTCAAAATTGAGGTACCAGCTGTTAAAGTGTATATACATTTTTTGGGACCCCCTGTGTATGGATAAATGGGCAACAAAGGACTGGAACAGATATTTCACCCAAGAGGACAAACACTTGGCCAATAGGCACATGGCCAGATGTTCAACATCCTAATCCTCAGGGAAATGAAAATCAAACTACAACCAGATGCCCCCTCACACCCATTGAACAGCTGCTACCAAAACAAACAAAACACAACACAAATGCACCAGACAAATAACAGTGTTTGTTTACATGTGGAGAAACTGCAACCTCTCTCCACTGTTGGTGAGAAAGTACAATGGTGCAGCCACCTCGGGAAAAAGTATGGCTGTTCTTACAACAATTAAAAATAGAAGGACCTCCAGCAGTTCAACTGCTGACACATGCTACATAGATGGACCTTGAGGGCCTTATGGTCAGTGACAGAAGCCAGGCACAAGGACAAGCCTACGATTCCACGCTCAGCACCAGCCAGCTTTCTCGCCAGGTCCCGCCACCCCAGGGCCTTTGCAGAGCTGTGCCCTCAGTCTGCAGCTCTGTTGCCAAGATCGGCTTCTGGGCAGCCAATCAATGAGTCTCTCTCATCATTGATGTTTTTATCCCCCTGTCCCTCTTCCTTTCTCTCTCTAAAATGAAACATATTTTTTTTTTTAAAAAAAAGAGTGTAGTATATGTTGTCTCTTTGTTGCTGGCTGAGTAAATTTATTAAATGTCACAA